AATTTTGTTTACAAGTGGTACCCAAGCATTCTTGAGGAAAGATGATTAGAGACAACGTTTCTCACTTGGCTAAACATATCTCCTGGAATGATTTAGCTGTTCTTGCTCTCCTGTGATTACATAACATGAATTTTACACTGCTTTGGGCATTTCACTGGTTAAGAAAAATTGCTTGCACACAGTGGTCATTTTTTTTAAAACAGCAAAACAAGGCTCAGTGCTGTGTTGAGTATTAGCTAGTGCAAGATAGACTAAGATTAAAGGCTTGCTACTGTACAGCACAGGCTGCCTTTGTACGACAGAGTCTTTTTGCAAAGTAGAAGCACAGGAATGGCAAATATAGTGCCTGTAACGATTGTTTACCTCAGTTGTGTTTTCCAAATCTGAAATTCTGCTAACTGTATGACTTTAACATCTCAATTCTTTGCCATCTCTATTTAACTTTCTAAATAGGAGAGTGATATTAGCTAATAAAAAACCCGCTGACTTCCTAAGAGGAATCTAGCAGCTCTGAGAAGGGCATGTCAGCTCTCTGAGCCCTGCTTCCCTGCTCTCTTGCAGACAGACTCCGGTGTTTAGATGGGTCTAGTAAAAGAATGCACGCGCCCTACGGATTTGTGCTGGGGGCTCCCTGCGATAGATCGGAAACGGGGATGGGGTGGAGAAAATGATGGATGGAGGCAGTGACATCAAGACAAGCTTAGAAATAATAATAATAAAAAAATGACTTTTATCTCTAAGAAAATGGAAAGTAGAAATGCATTTTCAGTGCACTGAAGAAATCCAAGAATGAATGTATTACTAGACATTTCAGGCTAACCCTTATTATGGAAGTTTTGAAGTTAGCCATGTATTAATCTTTTCAGAGTGTGATACGCTACCACACTCTAATAATTTGGCTTACAGGTTCATACTGTTTCATACATCGAATCAGACTGTTGGTCTATCAGATTCACTGTCCTGCTTTCTGCAGTGGCCAGTACCTGGCGGGCTGGGGAGAAGTTCCCAGCCTCCACCATGAAGTATTTGTGAGATCGGGTGCTGCTGCGTGTGGAGGGAGAAGCTCTTCCTTTCTGGGCTGCAGCACTGACACTGCACAAGTTTCACTTGCTCATATCTTACTGGATGTGGAATGTGAGCTGCGTTTATGCACTGCCATCCGTAATTTCAGCTGTACTGGACAGTCCCTCCTGTGACACTAGTCTTTCAGGGAAGTCATGGTATACTTAAAAAGTGAGGAAATTCATCTCTCCAGGTGTAGACATATTGGCTCAATTCTCTGTTGTCCGGTTACTAGCTAAACTCTGTTTGTACAGACTTATCCTTGAGAATACCTCCAATATAATCTTAAAAAAATGTAGCATTTGAAATATAGCTCTTACGTATTGAATCTAACAGAATGCCCATCTGTGGGCATCCCAGTGCTGGTGTCCTTGCATCTGCAATTGTCAGACCTTTTGTGGGCTCCTTTTTGTCTTTTCCTTCTGAAGAAGGCACAGAACACCAGTCTGCTCTGCGGAAGGCCTGAGTGGGTTGACAGCTTGCCTCTCCCATGGAGGGAGGCTGAGCCTGGGCCTACCTTGCAGAAGGCAGTCCTCAGTATTCTGTGATGAAGGGCTCGTGCCCATACCCTAGAAAAAACTGGCTGTGGAGAAGTCTTTTGGCACACTCCAAACAAGAGCTTTGGTGCCAACGAACCATTGCAGAGTGAGGGTCACTGGAGCAAGTGGAAGAATGGAAGGAAGCCTGGGGTTTGATGATGGAGGTGTACCTGGTGAGCAAATCCGATGGAATGGAATTCATCATAGTCAAATTAACGGAAATCTTACTTTGAGACACAACTATAATTGAACTTTTTTAACAAAGAAACCATGGAAGTGGGTTATAGAAGTATGGACGTTGGGCATGACGATTGTTTTAGCCCAGGTCTGGCTGTTAGGGCCCAACTCTAGTGGAAGTGACTGCAGAAATGGTCTTTCACAAGTGGTAATTGGTGATGACGTGCTATAAGGCAGTCTCTCCTCAAACTACCCCAAACTCATAGAAGCTCTTCTCTACTATTGTTGACCAAAATTAGACTCCAAAATGGGGTCATATTAGAGACTATACAAGGAGTCACAGAAGAGGATTCTGGGTATAGACTGACTACTGTGAAGTTGAGTTGTCTGTAGTTTTGATCTTGACAAATTTTAGAAATAGGGAAAAAATAGTACATGTCCTGGGGAAAATAACATGACTACTGATAAAATGTAGGGTAGGCACAGAGTCCTGCAGATGCTGAGACTTGGGCACACAATAAAATCCCAGGGTCAGACACTGACCTGTTCATCCTTAAATTTTATCAAGCTGCTGACTGAACAGAGGAGGCATTAATGAAACATGGATTCCTATAGCTTTGTGCCTGCAGTTAGATTCATTGGTCTCTAACAAGATGCAAACAATGATTCAAGATTTTTGTTCAGTTGGAACAGGGCATGCACGTTCATATTCACATGCTGAGCATGGATGAATAAGACTTATTTGCTTAGAAGGCAAGTTAAAAAAAAAAAAAAAAAAGAAGTGAGAGAGTATTTGTGGGGACAGGAAAATATATTCTAATATTTGGTCAATTTACCATACATATGCTATGTGTGTGTGTATATACATATATATACATATATATATGATGTAACATTATAAGTAATAGTATTTATCAACATACTTCTAGTATCTTTTTTTCTTACTTTATGATGATTTTTTTTTTCTTGAAAGATCAGTAGTTTGGCTTTGGTTATTTCCTCCCAACATCTTGGATTTGATCAGTTAATGAATGTTTTAGCAATTATTTTGAGACCCTTGGGTGTAAGGAAGTAAAAAAATCCATAGATGATGACCAATAAATGCTGAATGTCTGCTGTTGGCTGCAACGCTTGTCTTCTGCAGTGTATTCTGTGTCCTGAAAACAGAGTTCTGCAATGGGGATACACAATCAAGATGATTATGTTGGACAGAGAGGTTTCAAACCTGCTTATAAACTGTAGTCCTCTGGGAGCACCCAGGTGTGCAAAACATGCATGTGTGAGTTTGGATATCTGCTGCCAGTAATCACCCACGTTGTGCCCAATGTACCTGGGTATGTGAGCAAAACCGTTGTGAAAGATAACCCTATAAAGAAGTCACTTTCCAAATCAAAACCTTGCTTTGACCAAAGGACTAACAGTGGTTGTTTCCAGCAGATGCTGTAATCCATGTCTGCTGCTGGTTGTAGTGACTGAATCTCCCTTTGGGCAGAAAAAACAAATTTATTTAAAGTTGGCATGTAGGTTTAAGACTGTTTGTGATGAATTCAAATAAGTTCTTTGAGCTTAGAAGCTTAAGACCTCACAAAATCTAAACTATATCTCACATTGGGTGGCTTTAAAATATTTTTCAATCTGCTTTTCTGCAGAAAATCTATTAATTTACAGATTATTATTTTCCAAATTCAGGCTTATAAGAAAAAAAAAAGATAGAAAATACTTTTTTTTTTTCAGTACACTTTTCTTGTTCAGTAGCATAATGTTTGAGTAATATATATTGCAGTCATGGTTATAAATATCCTGCAAAGGGGCATGTATAGCTCATAGAAACCCACTGTCACATTTATGTAAAAATTATGTGTGCACCTGAGTGTATGTCTCAAGTAATTGGCATAACCTAATAATTCTTCAGCTATTATGAGGAGAATTTTGCAAAAAATCTCTCCTTTTTTTTGCCCATGAAAAGTGCTGAAAGGAACCTTTACTATCATTTCTATACAGCTGTGATTTTAATAGTATTTTATATAGTTGTGGTGGCTTTTTATCATCAACTTACCAGTTAGCTCCATGGCTACCATCAAAATAAACTGAAAATTATAAGTAAAAGTAAACAAAGCAAAAATAAAAAAGCTCTGAAGATCGTCACAGACTACAGCTTGAGAACCTCTACTAAGCAACATACTAAGTGAGAATATTATTTTTGAAACAACATTAGGAACGTTCACAGTGTTGATGAAGATAAAACCCCACAACATGTTTCAGCAAAATTGGTATTTCCTTCTCAGAAAAGCCTTGCTAAAATCAGGGATGGAAGAATCCTTCCAAACTAGCGAATAAAACTATTTTAGGACTAACTCGTAACATGTTGGTGCCAGTCCGTGCGTATGAACTGTAGGCACTGACTGAAAGAACATGTGATTGAAGCAGTATTTAAGCCTGAGTTCAGCCTCCTAAAAATACACCCTACCCATATTTGTGTGTTTATGGCAATTGGTACAGAAAAATGTTAGTGGGATGAACCAAAGCCACCTTTTTGCATTTTGATGTAGACCGCAACTGAAGTTTGATACGTTTTGTGTAATTTCAAACGTGTAAGTCCCTTTGGTATTCATCACTTCTGGTATCAAATTCTGCATGGGTCACCTCATACCTACCCTCCTGGATGTAACGTCGCTCATGGTGTACCACCGGGTGCAGTGGGACATCTCACCCCTGCCCAGTTCCTGGTGCTGGCTGTCCTCATTCCAGGGATGCTGGCTGCATCCTGCAGAACGTGCAGGGACCTGCCAGCAGGAAAATTTTGCTCATCTGATACAATAGTGTCATCAACAGTCTTGCAGAAACATATGGCTCAGCATTTAAAGCTCAATTTTTAAGTTAATTTAAGGTTGGTTTCAAGATATATATGTTTATATGCACATTAAATGAAAATGAATATCAAACATGATAGCTTGTCCAGATGTTGCGAATAAATGAATCCTTTCTAAATTGTGATCTAGTTGGTGCTTATATCAGTATATTGTTTTTTCTAAAGCTCTCCAGTTTCATCATGATTTCCTTTCTGATGGCCATTTTGATTTCAGTGCTCTCTGAAGTTTGACGATGGAAGTTACCATTATGTGTAACACTCTAACATCTGCTGTGTAACATGAAGGATGTAAATGTACTTCACCTCTGACAGCAGCTCTTTCTCTCTCTTCTCTTTTTCTTTTTAGAATCCAGTTTTTTGTTGGAAATGCCCAGATTGTGGACTGGCCTGTAGTTTATAGTAATGACGGTTTTTGTAAACTCTCTGGATATCATCGCGCTGACGTCATGCAGAAAAGTAGCACTTGCAGGTAGGTTGACTGTCTCTTCATTGCCACTTGATGCACTTCCAAAATTACAATCTGCTGGCAGAAAAATTAGGTTTGAAAAAAAAGGATTGATACAAGAAAATAATTGTTTATTAGAAATTAAAGTATCAAAGCAGGCTTAAGTGAATGAAACCAGAAACTTACCTAGGACACTTACCCATGTATATTCAGTTCAGCACATTGCTGATTAGCATCCAGTAGTATCAATGGCTAGTTCCACCAGGATTAATAGACTATTCAGATACTTAATTTTAAGTCCTTTGCTAAATCTGGGGTAGCCCTTAAAGTCATGCGAGATTTAATCCTAAATAACATAAAGCTAAATTCCAGATTTCTTGTCTGTTTTTGTTTTTTATTTAGAACATTTACAAATTCAATATATTTCACTCAAATGTTTTTGAAAGCAAGCCTGGTTTTGAAATTCCTGTTGTCCTCTGGTAATTGCATAAATACAATGAGCATTTCAGGAATAAAGACTGTTCAGTGGAAAAAAAAAAACAAAAACATTTTAATAGTGAATGAAGATGAACTAGAGGTGCTCCCAAAGAGTGGTATGGTGTGTGTGTGTAAATATTTTGAGTGTTTATTTGTTATTCTCTCATTTGAAAATTATCCCTCTTACTATCAGTATGAATGTGCTCTAACATTAAATAAAGCAAGCAGGATATTTAGGTGATATGTTTCAAAAGCTTTTTTTTTTTTTTTTTTTTTTTTAAATAAATTTTCATGAATTCTCCTGTTTACCATGCCAGGAGGTCTGCATCGTGCTATCCTGGAGCCCATATTGGTCCCTGTTCTTACACACACACAGAGCACAGTAATGTGCAAAATGCATCTTTATTCCCAAGAAGGTGATTAGGCTGATTGATGTATTTACTCTGAGCATTGCAGCTTTATGGCTTTTTCCTTTTGCTGGTGGTCTTTCAGGAGCGGGCAGCTGTGATTTATGGTTAGATGTTCATCTGCGCCTGCTCTGCTGCATCCTTTAAAAGGAGATGCTGTGGGGAGAGACTAAATCCCTAATGCATGTGTGGGTGTGTGAGCAAAGTAACCAGGGATGAGGGCAACAAGAAATGGCCAAGATACAAGTTTGTGTAAGTTTTCCCTTCACACAATCAGGCAGTGACCAACTCCAGGGCTGCACAACCTACAGGACTGAAACGCTGATGTGTGGTCGCTGCTCTTATCTGCCGAAAGGGGAAAACCTTGGAGGTCTGAGGTTGCTCTGTGCAGCCAGATGTCCTCTGATCGGCAGTGGAAATGAGATGGGCACATGCAGCTGACATGAAATATTAACTCACATGGTAGCAACAAAGTCAAAGTACTTGGGTGGGGCTGAAAGAAACAGCTTTATCTCAGGCTTCACAAATATGCTTACACGCTTACCCCTTTGCTGTCTGCTGTCCTGTATGTTGAGTTGGATCTGTTTCCTTGTCAGCCAGCGCTTTTATAGTCTGTGCATGTTTAAGTCATTACATAAACAGAATGGGATTGTAGGAAAATGTTGGGGAAATCAAGGTTTAGCTACACCTCCCTTGTGCCTCAAATACTGAGAGGACCAAAAGGTTTAGTCCATCACAGTGCCTTTTATGAATGTGATGGGCTCTGGTTGATACTTGTAAACATCCCATTTTGACCACACTCAAGTGAATCATATGGATGCAAATCTTAGGAGGAGTTATTGTGGAAAGTGAGGCTGGTAGCAAAGATTTATTTATTTATCTCATTCTACATATCCATCTCTGAATTTTGAGATATCTCTCTCCATTGAAAGCATGGCCAGCACTTGTTCTGTGTGTAGATCTTAGCTGGTGGAGTTATATTTGCAGTGTGATATTTGGTGCCTCTTAGGGCTCACCCTGGTCTCTCAGGTTAGAACAGAGCTGGAGAGGTGCTCAGCGTGGTCTGATGTACCCTTCTGGAGAAGTGTCTTAGGGGCTGCTCTCTAATGAAGAGCTTTGCAGCTGTGTGGGAGGGAAAATTTTGGTGTGTGGAATGAAAAATGTAGGTGTGCACGACACCAGAAGTTGCACTTGTAGCTGGGGCTGATCCACAGAGTAAGTGGCACAAGTGAGTGCTAAAACGCACAAGATTTTTAGGTGGAAGAACTTGCGTGCTTGTGCAGCGTTGCTGTGCCAAATGAAAATGAGCTGACAGTATGGAGGGAGCAGGGAGGGCATCTGCAATTGCTGTACCTCTGACATTCAATTAACCGTGCAAAAGCCCCTGCCTGGAGGTGCACCGATAGATTAACCAGCGCCTAGGAAAAACTCTTGTTTCATGCCCAGTTGCCCACAGTCATGACAATTTGTCTTGATGAATACATTGAAAAAATAAACGCCTCCAAACCATTAAAACCCTGTTTAATGTTGCAAATAATATCAGCGTTGTTTGAAATTGTTGCTTATCAGTAAGTTCAGGCTTCTTGCAAGCCCTCAACAGAGCAGGCACCCTTTGGTGGCTGGTAGTAGACCTACACTAGCATTTTGCACTTGCTGTTTGCTCCAGGTTTTGCTCTCCATACCCTTCCTTGCACCAGGCTGGGAGTAAGCTGGGTGCTGGTTTTGTTTTTAAAGAGGAAACCTGCTTTGAGGCCCTGTTGATGTGTTGCCTTCCAGCTGTACAGAGGGAGGGAATTAGATCCGCTGGCTGAAGCTGTGTACAGGTTGTGTTTCCACTGAAACACTTGCAGTGTGCCACTCAGCATCTCATTCTCCCTTGTTTTGATAAATTTGGTACCAGGATGTTAACTCTGTGGCCGTGTTTTCTGTAGGAGAAGACAGCACTTGCCCCTTGTACTGCCAAAGCTGAGCAAAGAAACCTTGCTGCACACCAGTGGGACCCAGGGAGCTGCCCCGTGCTGCCTTGGAGGGGTGCCTGCTGCTGGGCTTGCAAAGTTTTGGAGCTGCTGACACGTAGATCAGTATTTGCTTTTCCTCCTGGGTAGTTGGTCAGTTGTAACTGATGCCTTTTCATCCAATGCTTTTGGATAAACAGAGCTGTTAACTGGATGTGGGATTGTATGCCTTCCCTGCTTTGTCTGCCCCCTAACCACCTGGCAAAAGCCTCACAAACAGCCACAAAAATCTCTCAGGCACATTCCGCAGACCCGAAGCTTCTGTGGTGGTGCTTTTTTGGATCCTGATGAAGGACAGGAGAGTGCGATGCAAAGCTTTTGACGTGGCTTCTCTGTGCCAAGAAGTGCTTTCAGAAGGAGGCAGGAGCATAGGCGTCTGAAATGACGAATGGTCTGTTGCAGGGATGGGGAAATTATCTAAGATTGTGCCTTTCTCTGCGTGTTTCAGTAAGTCTTGTTTCTCTTTGATAAGTCTATTTTCTAGGTAGTAAGATCCCCAGTAGCAGGCTGGTTTTGATATTTATGTCTTGTACAGTTTGCACTGAAGGCACTTGACAAGCAATAAATAACAAAAACATGAGGCAGAAAAAGACAGAGTGATTGACTGAAGAAGTAGGAGTCCCTCCATGTGTACAAAATAGGACAGACTAAATTAAATTAAACCTGTGATAAGCAGAGATCTTATATAACTTATACAGTGAGTGGCGTGGGGGTCCCTTTGGTGCCTTGTAGTAAAAATCACCTGAAAAACATTTGTACCATTCTACAAGCCTCTAAAATGTCTGTTTATATGTGAAAATAATGCAAGATTTGAGTTTTACAGGTTTACTGCACTAATAAGCTGACTTTAAAACGTAAAGCTTATTGATTGCATTCAGCAGAGCTAACTGCTATCGTCAACCACTGTTGAGCATGGTTTGTCGTTTTAATGCTAATTAATGACTTTCTGTATTATAAGCCATGTAAAGTCATGCACTTTAACAAATTTTAGTTATTTTTTCCTTCAAGACTAAGAGAAGCATTGTTTTTAAGTATCAGGACCACAAAAAGAGTGTTCAGTTGAATTGAATAACTAAAACACCAGTTCTTATTTTGTCTTGCAGACTTGAGCAGTCTGCTTTACCTCATCAGTGCACTAAAAAAGGGTTAGATTAAAAAAAATAGCATTCAAACTTTTGTTTGTTGTCAGCTCCCATGTAAATGTAGGAAAGGCTATCAGGAAGGAAGGGCAGGCCATTTGAAAATGAGCAGCAAGGTGCCCGATGAGGCATGCAAGCACTGTGGCTGGTCCCATGCCCTGTGTCTGCTTGGCCAGCACCTTATTTTGGGAGCAGCCCCATCACCTCCCTCGGTCACTTGTGTAAAGGAAAGATTCACCGCCCAGCCTTCATTGGGTATTTTAATGCTTGCCAAGTCACTAACCACTGTGCTGTTTTATTGTTTCTTTCAGAACAGTAGACGTAAAATAAATGTTTATTGAACCTTTGGAGGTCTGTGGATCGATAAAAGAGAAGCTGGATTTAAACCACGGAGGCACTGATAGCTTTTCTTTTTCTCTTTCATATTCTCAGGGTTGTCTGTTGTAGGTTTCAGCTGGAGCTCAAACTGTTAGTGAACAAAGATAACGGGGTGGGGGAGAAGCCTGATCAATTAAAAGTGTATTCATCCAAGCGTCTGAAAGCTTTTATCCCTTGCTCCATTTTCCTTCGGTTCTATAATTGGGAATTTGCACAGGGCAGTCTTCACCTATTTTTAATCCAGGGAAGAATGATGGGAAAAGCCTGGCTGTTTTCTTACATAGGCTTTCAAAAATAAGGTTGGGATGTTGGGTTCACTTGCACCAGCTGAAAGTCTGACCTGGAAAAAAGTGCAAAGGTGATGAAATGGTCAAGCGGCGACAAATAGTGGAGTTAAAATTAGACTTTTGTAATCTCTGTCTGGAAAGGGACGAGTCTTCAAAAGAGTTTTAAAGCTTCCCATATTTTCAGCGAGGTATCAAAGAAATGTGACATACAATAAGGAAAATGAGGGTGAATTTGGTGATATTTGGTGGTAGTGCAGACACTGTGGGCCAACTTACTCACTTGCTTTCTGTGTTATTTTTCAGAAAATTCCAGTCACTAGTTCTCAGTGGTTAAATCCTACCTCAATTCTAATTGCTTTTTGAGAAGAAGGATTCAGAATATCTTGTGTCAGATGCATCTTGGCAAGATTAGATTTGCATCCATTGATTCAGCCAACAGCCCTTACCTGTAGCAAGTTCTGTTCTTCCTTCTACAGCCTTTTCAGGAGGATTGAACGAAATTTGGGAGGTTTTGAAGGTTTTGCTTAATATTCTCCATTTTCACAGCAATATTCTCATGGCCTGCAGCTGTGGCAATAATGGCTTTATAGGATATCAGCTCTTTTTCCAACAATATGCCCTTAAAGATATGTTAAAGAAAAGCACTTAATGAAACGTTAGATGACAGCAAATACATCTACTTTACAGAAAAAAGGCAGCCATGGTTATTACTATTGTAGGTTTCATAACAGCCTTGTGACATTCAGAATATTTAAATGAAGTGTAAATCATAGTTAAACTTTGGTAAATGACTGTGAATAGCATCCCCAATGGTTATGCAGTCTAAGGTGACTGTAACAAGCTGTTGCTTGTCTAGCAAAAAGAGAAAAATGTTTTTTTTTTTTTTTTTCTTTTTCAGTTTTATGTATGGTGAACTGACAGACAAGAAGACCATTGAAAAAGTCAGACAGACTTTCGACAACTACGAGTCAAATTGCTTTGAAATTCTCCTCTACAAGAAAAACAGTACGTATATATTAGTTTATGATGTTGGGAGTGATAATGCATATTTATTATATATTATAGTATGCTATAAACATTATATACAGTGTATATACATATTATGTATTATACCATATTGTATATAATGTGTTTTATTATACTATATGTATTAAATGTAATATACATGTATTATTATAACTCTATACTATAAGTATATAGGTGTGTGTGCATATATATATATGTATATATATATATATATATATATATATATATATATATATATATATTTCAGGTTGGAAATTAGGAGAATTTTTTTCCCTGAAAGAGCAGTCAGGCATTGGGACGGGTTGCCCAGGGAGGTGCTGGAGTCACCGTTCCTGGGGATGATGAAGGAAAGGTTGGATGTGGTGCTTAAGGACATGGTTTAGTGGGTGACATTGGTGGTAGGGGGGTGGTTGGACCAGATAATTCTGGAGTTTTTTTCCAACCTTAATGATTCTATATATAAAGTATTTAATAGACTAAGATGTTCATTTTGACATATGGGTAAATTTTGGAGCAAATTTTGTTGAAGAAAAAGGTATTTTGCTCGCCAATGATCAAGAAAAGAGCTTATGTTTCAGGACAAGTGTACAGATTGCCAAAGCTAGTATGTGTTTCCTGGTGTCTCAGGTCACAATCCATCCTTCCAAAAAATAATAATTTTGAGGAGTTGTATTCCTGAAGGGAATCTTGACTGGGTAAAGTGAAAAGAAATTCTGAATGAAATTTCCCCTCAGGAAACATCCCCAAATGTCTGCAGGTGAGAACCCACACCCTGATTTGTGAGTGGTTGCTCCCAGTGGCAGCAATGTGTGCCTGCAGAAAGCACTGGTGAGCGCTGGGGGAGATGCTGAGTATGCCTGACTGCCCCTTTTCACTGCAAATTCACATAAACCCTTCATGACATTGAAGAGAGCAGTCAGGATACCTCAGCTTCTGGAAGAGTACTCATGCACTTATGCTTTATTTCTACTTCCCCTTTCTAGCCTAAATTTTCCCTTATGTGCACTTAAACAATAGGAATTGTCTTCAGATTTCTCCAGTTCTGCCTGCTTCAAAGCATTTTGGTAAACTAATTAAAAAGAGATGCAAGAGTGCCTCTGAAGTCCAGCTGTTCCTGCAGGTGCCCATGATAGCCCTTCATATCATCTCCTTTTGGTCCCTCAGCACATGGATGTTCTCTGATTTCCTGCCCCTCTCCCCTGTTCCTGTTCAGGTCACCTCCCCTCAGAGGGGGTAGGCTTCCTGGGACAGACTTTTGTTCTGTATCTTTGCAGGTGGTGGTGCTCAGCACCCCCCGATGTCCATGTGGTTGCAGAAGATCCCAGAGACTCAGGGATTTTCCCTACCCTGGCTTCCCTTTTTAACTGGGCCGGTAGCTCATGCTTGGCATGGGCCAGTACTAAAATAAATTCCTTTCCATTTTATTTAAATATTAAGAAGATGAAAGCAGGAAATCTTTGTCACTGATCTGTAACTAGCCAGTTACTTTTTTTTTTACTTTTTTTTTTTTTTTTTTTTTGCTTTGGGCTGTGGATTGCCTGCTTGAGCTTGATGGTGTTCCAGAGATTTATTGAGCTGCAGTTGCCTTAATAAAATCTTCACCTTTGCCCAGATCTCCAATCCTGTACTTTCTGTAAGATACGCAGGATTACAGAAGGACTTCATGGAAAAGTACTCATTTTTCTTTTCAGTCTTGAGCCAATTCCCATCCATAACATGTTGCCAGCTTTCATCTCCATCACCTGAAGCCCAGCACTACCATCTCTTGCTAACACTGACAGCCTCACCTTTTGGCTCCAGTTCAGCAGCTGCTTTGCCTTGGCTTTGCTTCCATTTGTCATACGCTGGTACTTGTGATAGAAGCCTCTTCAAGAAACTGCATGCTTAGCATCCAGGCTGAATATTGGAGCAGATAAGGAAATGAAGAGTAGTGTCTGTTGGTATGAACGTACTTGTGAAAAAGGTGGAGTTATTCTGTAGAAAGGCTTGTGTTTATAACCCTGCATGCTGCTTCTGTCCTGTGTGGAGCTTGCAGTGCTTGCAGAGCAGCCCTCCACCCACATCTTCAAACTGTAGTTCCAGAGGTTGTGGGTATTGTTATTTAATCACAAATTTTTCTTTCTCAGTCATTCCTTTATGCTTTCAGCAAAGGGAGATCTTGAGATTTTCAGGCTGCTTTCCCATTCTCCTTCCTTTTGGCACAGGGATGGTTTTTAAGAGCTGTTGTTCTCAGGCAGCATCCATGTGGCTGCTGGCTTCACACGCTCCCTTGGCACTCTAACCCAGTTAGCCAATTTCAGGATCAGACCTGCAAGTTCCCTACGAATTTCTGCTGCTTTACTGCATTCCCTCACATACGTCCTCAGCTCTACCCACCCAGCTATTTAGCACCCACATAGACATGCATATATGTGTGGGTAATACTCAGGAAACCTTGCCTGCTTTTGAGCCCCCGTTCAGGTTGCTGTTTCTACAGCACTATCCACCTTGCCTCTCTCTCTCTTTGATTTTTATCAGGGCTGTTGTACAAGTTATTTTGCCTACTTGTGGAGCTTTTCAAAGGGTGCTGATGAGTTGCCAGGTACAAGTGAAAGCACAGGATCACTCTTGAGAGCTGCAGCACTCTTTCTTAGAAGTTATGAAAAGAGCCTTTTATCTTGGGTTAGCAACTGGGAGTTGAGATAATCAAGTGATCAGCATAATGGCTCTGGAATTACCTCCGAAAGCAGTCCCCTGTCTCCCCAACCTCTCCAGTTCACTTTCAGTGAGTTACTGCTTTAATCCCAGCAGAGCAGTGCTGAGTTTTGCCATGAGCCCCTGTGGATTTTGACCTTCCCTACAGTAGCCCTGCTCCAAATGGGTTTCGTTGCCCTCTGGGCATCCATCCCTGGCACAACTCCCAGATGTGGTGCGTTAGAGGAGATTTGGAGGGGCCAGCTGTGCCCTGGGATAGCAGTGGGCGAGCAGCTTGTTTCAACATCTCAGTTGAAAGTCCAGTTTTTAGCTCCTGAGCACCTGCAGGAGCCCTCTGTGGGCAGTGAGGCTTTACCACAAAACCATTCTAACCACTCCGACACGGTAAGCAGTTTTCTGGCTGTTCGTTTGATGAATGGTATTATCTGAAAATTATTTTCTATTTAGTTCAAAACCCAGGTATAGATAAATGCACTGCAAGTTTGCTCCACTCATTGAGACAACGGGGAGATGGAGGGTATGACCTGAAACACACAAGGAAATACTATCTCCATATTTGTCCAGATAGACCATTTTAATTTTATGTCTGAATTAGTTCAGGCCCTCTCAAATAACAGAGCAACATCAAATTTGGAGCATTTTACAGTATAGTCTAGCAGTTTTGGTTTTGATAGCTCCATATTATGTAAAGAAGGATTCAAAGATATCCTCAGTCTATTTTTTTTTCTCGCCTGACTACCCTGCAGATATCGGGTTTGTGAGACATGATGGTAAAACCAAGAGCAAGAGGGGAAGAGTCATTATCTCAGGGTGTTCTATCTCTGGTTACTCTGGTTATCTCTGACTATCAGTTTGTCAGTTTGTTGGCTTTTCTCCATTTTAATGAATCTGTAAAAAATAAGAATGTGTTGTTTTCTGTTGAGGAGGTAAAATTAAAGGTCCGGGACATGTAGAAATACTTCAACGTGATCCTAAACAATGTGCGCATCATATGATGTATGAAGTATTCTGTGTACGGGCTGGGGAAGGGTTGTGCTGCACCACACTCCAACGTCACCTTTTTCTCTGCTCCAGGAACCCCAGTTTGGTTCTACATGCAAATTGCTCCTATAAGAAATGAGCATGAAAAAGTGGTTTTGTTCCTGTGCACTTTTAAGGATATCACTTTGTTCAAGCAACCAATTGAAGATGATTCAACAAAAGGTAAATATGAAATATACTAATATATTTTTTTTTTGTAAATTATGAATTTTATATTCAAGCTGAGTCCAGTGACAGGAAGATGTGGCTGTGATCTTGCTATCAGGAAATGTTTTGTCAGAATTTTGATGCCACATTTCCAAATTATTGATTAAAAAATACAGAATTTTGAGTGGAATATTCCCTTACAATACTTTGTCCAGAGCAACCAGCCTTTGTTTTCCTTTGTAATATCACTACTTCTTCACTACAGCTGATATTTGCTAAAAATAGCATGGTTTTCAGTCATTATAATACTGTGTTGTATTGGGAGACCTTTCTTCTGCAGGACTGGTGTCTTTTATTTATCAAAACTAATTTCAGCTCCTTTGTGCTGAGGTGTTGGTCTTTACTCCATTTCTCTTTCTTGGAGACGAGATGGGAAAGAACAGCCCAGCTGTGTCTCTTCTTGCTGGTCAGCAGTGATGTCTGCATGGCAGTGGGTGTTCTGCCTGGTATTTCACAGCTGCTGCTGGTGGTGTTTGCTGAAGTGTGCAATGCTCTCATCACCTGATGACCTGTGCTGCACAGGGAGAATTTGTAGGGAAAGGATCTAGCAGCATCCTTGCCTTTGTAGGATATGTTTGGTGTCAGGTTCATATGTGTATTGCTCTGGGTAAAATAATGCATGTTTCCATAAAGAAAGGCAGAAGATCCATATGCATCTTCTCCAGGAAGTTCCCTTCTGGTAATTAATTCCTTGTTCTGTTTTTCCGTTCCTGCTTGGAGAAGGCTTGATTTGTCACTGAGAGCAATGTGCCCTCTAAGCCATCTTGTGTAGAATAAAACCCTGTGTCATTTGAATGCAAACAGGATTTAAACTACTTTCTGATGATATAGATAACACTTATGTGCTTGGATAAATGACAAGTAGATTTATAAAGGCAGATCTCAAATAAAATGAAAGGCCTCTCTTTGGGCTGACATCAAATATGAGATTTTTTTGCCTCCAGAGTATTATCAGTAAAGTTGTAAGATCCTGATGTAGGAGAACCTTCTCAGCCACCGTAAGCCTCTTTGCCTCTACAATTCAGCTGGTATCCTGCAAACGTTCCTTTGGATTCCCAGCCTGGGAGATGAGTTCTTTGGGAATGGAGGGATGTGCTGAGGGAGCTGAGCTCGCCCTCAACCCATCTGAGGAGGAGCAGGATCCTCCTGACGTCCATTATAGGAGCAATACATGTTCCTATGCGAAAGAGCAACAGCTGCAAAGTGAGTAATGCATGTACTGCTGTCCTGCAGTGAAGGGAACCATTAGTTACAATGCCAAGTATTAGCTGTGAACACCGCAAAATATTGTTGTCAGCAGCCGAGAGAGGTTTGACTGCGTGTTTAAGGACCATTTACTTCTGTCAAAGTCATATTTAAAGCAAAAAAAACCACCACCAAACAAACAAAAAACCAAACCAAACCAAAACAAAAAACAACAACAAACAAACCAAAAAAAACAGCCACATCTCTCTTCAAGGCATATGACTGGAGTCTTAAGAATTTCCTCAGGATGCTTTGATTAGAGCATGGATTAACATTGATCAATACATCCAGCAAGCTCCATAATTACAAACCATTGACCTGATTTTTTCAGTCTCCTTTTGTGTAAATCTGAGTTTGTTTTTTATATTGATAATATAGTAAGGAAAAACAAAACACATAACCAAATATTAGCAGCAATTTACTACAAGGATGGAAGAAGAGCACTGTTGCATTATTCTCTGCATCTCAACTGGGTGGATCTGCAGGATCCCACTGCACTGGGATCAGAGCAGTGTTTTGTCAGACGTAGTGCTATGAGACATGCATAATTCATTGTCCTTGCAGATAACATTACAATGTGCTTAGAAGCTGTCAGGCCACTTGCCTCTTGAATTATGAGATTGGTAAACATATATATTAGAATTTAGGAGAGAATTTTTAAACTTTTGTAAAAGGCATTTCAGTAAAATAGTGCTGTTGAGTGTGGGATTTGTCATTGAAAGGGCTATTTAAAAAAGAAAAAAAAATAAAGATTTTTTTCTTCAGAAATTCTGCCAGGCCCATGCAATACATAATACATAAGTAACTATGGTGTAGATGAGTTACTGTGTATTACTTATGGGAGCAGTAAATTTGAGATAAAAGATTCAGCAGAAATAAAATATTGATGCCATTATGCAATAATCTCTCCATACTGATGTATTCTGCACTGTTCGAAAGTACACAGCTTTGTTGTGAAGCTGCTGTATATCATGCTCCTACGAGGTACAAGGGTTTGGTATTTAAATCATAACGATGGGTGTAGTGATGCTGCAGGATGTCTGTGTGTCCTGGCTTCTGTAATGAAATGGTTGTGTTTGCTGGACCCACTTGAGGTGGCTGCAAAGGTGTTGGCATCTTGTGCCGGCTTTGCACAGAGGACTCAGATCTGCTCAAAAGTGTTGGGGAGCTTGTCACGTGTGTGAAAAGAGGGCATTAAAAATAAATAAATAAATAATATATATATATATATATATATCCTACTGCAAAGCACGTTGCAAGGGAGGAGTGGGATTTTTGCCCAACACAGGCTCAGAAACATGCTTGCTGGGAGGCTCAGTACCAAAACTCTAGTTGGCATCACGGGGACTGGCCCCGTGGGAGCGAGGGGAGCTAGAGAGGGCTGGGGCTCTGTGACAGATGGTGCATGTGTTTGCTTACCTGTGTGCTCACCGTCAGCTGCGTTAATGCTGTCAGAAAGCAGGCGGAGGGGGCTTTGCTACCAGGAGGGAGCAAAAGCGGTGAAAAATTTTCCCAGGTCACCCAGGAGGCTGTGTTTTTGTTTTAGTCCAGAAGGCTGTTGGAGCTTACAAAGAAAGAACGGATAAAAGGGATATTTATCCTCCTCAGATAAAATACACTGTCAGAGATCATACAAAAACCTTGTGTTCAGGGAGGGGATAGGCAGGGTGACACTGAAGATCTGACAGACATGTTTTCTTGTTACCTGTGCTGGTATCTGTTATTGTTGAGTGATGTGCAGGAAACCTATGATGTATTGCTGTAAAAGACAGAGAATTTTATTTGTTATTCTGTTAATCCCATTGATATAGAGCTGTTAACTGCCATGGATTCCTCCTGACTCTTCCCCCCACCTTGCCAACAGTGTGCATACAGCTCTGGAGAGGTACAAGAAGTGCAAACAAGACTCAAATACCCAAGCAATGTGCTAGCTTGGTTGTAACAAGCAGTTACAGTGACCAAGAAGTGCTGTTGTATCCTCTTAACTGGAAAAGATCTTTGAAAGTGTCTAATCATGCAAGTCTGCAAAACAAGTGTCTTGGGTAGAAGCAGTGAAAGCCATGATAATGGAGGGAGACATTGGCCATGTGCTTGATGTGTGCCTGGATGGAGATGCCACCGACAGTTGTGCAGGTGCAGAGAGAAGGGAGAACATCGCTCTGCTGATTTGCTTTATGGTTTCTAGCAGTCTGGTGTGGAAGGAGAAATTGAGAGCCTGTGATGGGGCAGGAGGTGTTGCAGGAGCTGCTGGCTGCACCTGGTGGTCACTGGGACAAAGCCTTATTTTCCACTGAAGGAGCTGTGCTGTGTTTTATCCGGTCTTTCTTTCCTTTTCCTGTTTCTATTTGGTAACACAAACACTTGTCTGACCTGGATTTGGTACCAGGTCGTACCTGTGGTGGTGGAGGGCCAGCTCTCCAGGTGTCCTGCCTGAATGCCTTACACAGCAGGCTGTTACAAGCACATGAAGGTATTTTCTTCTAGAGAATAAAGCCCAAAGAATCTTCTCTTTTATGTTTGCACCATTGTAGGGTCACAGTTGGATGCTTTTATCAGCTCGCTGTGCTTTTATTCTGTCTCAAAGCATCTGGAGGCATTCAGTCCCTCCAAAGACACACAGTGGTAATAATCTTATGTTTATTTGTCAGAAAAGAAATGAAGCCGCTTTTCTGGGCCCTAACTATTAGGAGGGCAAACTGGGCCACTTAAAATTTTAACACCATTTGAAGCCAAGAGTGCTGTAGATTATACTAAACTGAAAGCTTAAGGATGGAAAAAAGACTGGCATTTTTGGGATAATAGTGAAACAGAACCCAGTTATACAATGGTTTTATTTCCTTTGTTATCACCAGTGAAGAAAAAATCTGGCCTCCAGGTAAACTTGAAAGTTTATTTGCCTGGGATTCTCACTGGTTGTCTGGAGTCTCTTTGGGATGAAATACCAGACTTTTCTGCAGCTGGAAGTGGTTGGGAAGTTCCTGTGAATACTGGTGGCAGACTGGATTAGGATGCAACGATGTGCTATTGAGGTTTCTACAACTCAGGACAGTGTGCTGTTAACAGATGGGACCAGGAGACAGCACAGCAGTATCCTAAAGGTTTTTCTTCACTTGGTACAGCCAGACTTTGATAATCAAGACTGTCTGGGACAATGCTGTACTGCTTCCAGTGATATAACTCTTTATGGTTATATAACTCTATATAATGATACAACTCTATCTTGGAGTGTGACAGGGCTATAAAAAGTGTGGTAGTTGCAGAAATACGCACTTATGCTTGCTAATCCTTGCTAAGCCTATAATTCTGATCCTTTTTATCTTTAATAAGTGCAAGTTATTAAGCATATATAACTAGTTGCACATGGGAACTTTTTTCCTTGAGGGGGTATCAATCCTGGTGATAATAGAAGAAGTGGGTGGAGGGATTAGAGCATGAAAATGAGGTTTCTACCTTTAGCTGAAGCACAGTGTACCCTGTTGAATACATCGCCTTGACAGTAATCCGTAACAGTAATTTAATAGGTCACAATTTGGATATCCTTCCCATGTTTTCATTGCACTTCCCCATGGCTGTAATAACAAGGGGTTTGGTGCTACAGAGACATGGTTGCAGCTTTGTTCTGGTGCTGCTTCCCATTGCTCTGATCAAGAGCAGGCTTGTGGTGGGAAGAGTAGATAACTCAGGGGAGTGGTGCCATGATACAGTCTCTT